GAGAGAGAGAGAGAGAGAGAGAGAGAGAGAGAGAGAGAGAGATGCGAGGAGGACGATAAAGGACGTGGAAGAAAATACGAAGAAGGCACGCGCACGCGTGAGCAGGGTCCACATCCCACGTTTCGCTAGCCGAATCGTTGCGAGGGAGTGCACATGGACGTGACCGGCCGAAGCTTCGGCCGGCACTCCGTCCCGAAACGTTTCTCTATGGACAACCTCCACTCCAAAGTCACCAAAGCAAACAAACACTAATTAGCAAGTGGCCACGACACGACACGACACAGAACATACTCATTTAAGCAAGTCAGCGTGTTGACAGCGTGACACTAGCCATGTTTAGTGGAGGGTCTACTTTGCTTCCAAAGCTGGTGCAAATACAACTTCTGCCGACGATCCACGAGGCGCCCACTTGACCCAAGCACGATGATCACTATACATTGTCCTTCAACCGTTTCACGTCTCAAGAATCAAAGAATCACGGCCGTGTATAGAGACTTTTTAATCACTCGGACGGTTGACAAGCGCCCGAACTCATCGACGTGGATGCAGGAGCATCTGGGCCAGCAGCTCGCTCCACAGGTCGATCGGCCCCGGCAGGCACCAGTGCAGGCAGTCCACCACGAAGCTGCCCTCCACGCTCCCGCCCGGCGGGTGCCCGTACCGGCTCGGGTGCCCGTCCGGCCGCAGGTCCATCGCCTCCGTGATGTCCATCAGCACCAGCTCCGCCTCCGCGCCGTCCCTCCTCGTCGTCGCGGCCGCCGCCTTCGTCTCCCGCAGCGCCTCAACCTAGTCGAGTCACAACATTTCATTTAATTTAGCAGCCGTCACGTTCCGCGTGGCACGAGATCATGGGGGTTTACGAGGTTTGCGCCATTTACGTACCTGCGCGCTGCGGTACTCGGACTCGAAGGCGCCCAGGGCGCGGTCGCCGCGCCGGTAGGGCCGCGTGCGGACGCAGTCGCCGCCGGTGTTCCACTCGCCGCCCTCGAAGTGCGCGGGCGTCACCGTCCGGAGCACCGCCTTGCCGCGGAACCCCTCACTGGCGGCGACGGCGCCGAGCGCCGTCCGGAACGCCGCGCGCAGGGCGCGGGGCACGGTCATCTCGGCCGTCACGTTCCCGTTGACGCAGCTCGCGCCGCCGTTGCACGCGACGGCGCGCCCGCCCTCGTAGTACACCGAGGGGCGGAGGAACCAGTTGGTGCCCGAGAGGACGACGTGGTCGAAGCCGGCGAGGTGCGACGCCCACCGCGCGTCCGGCGTGTCCAGGTGCACGTCCCACATGCCGAGCGTGGCGTTGGACAGGTTGGCCTTGACCAGGAAGGGCGACCAGAAGAGGGAGGCGGTGAAGTCGTGGCTGCCGTAGTAGTAGTCCCGCCGGACGGCCCTCCCCGTCGGGTCGATCTCCGACTCACCCCCGACCTCCACCGGCTGCGCCACCTGCATGTCTCCACTGGTTAGCTTCCATCAGAAACAACACGTTAATGGCCGAGTGCATGCACCACAGACGTACCCTGGACAGGAGGCAGAGCAAGGACTTGAAGTGGTTCCTGGCGAGGGAGTCCCCGACGAAGGCCATGGACTTGCCCCTCATGGCCTCCAGGAACCGCGCGGCGTCGAAGCGGGGGAGCTCGCAGCCGTCCGGCCGCCACCTCCAGCGCAGGAACTCGAGGCTCGGCTTGCCGAACTTCATGCAGTTCTGGTGGTCGTCGATGAAGGGGCAAGTGAGGTTCGTGTAGTACGGCGCCTCCACGGCGTCCTGCACCCACTCGCCCCGCGTGAGGTCGCAGGCCGGAGACGACGCCGAGGACGATGAGGAGGGGGCGCCATGTATGCGCAGGTAACGGCGGTCGGCGAAGGACAAGTCGTAGAGCGTGACGAGCACCAGGACGAGCAGGAAGGCCACCGGCGCGGCAAAGGCGGCCGAGCGCTTCGGAGAAGACGGGCCGCTCTTGCTCGTGTGGGACTTCATGGCGGGGAGAGGAGATGGGCTGATCAGTGGGACGGGAGGATGCCGTTGCTTGGGGAACACAGGGCATGGAGGATGGAGTAACAGAATGCGAGGTGCAGAGTATACCGGGCTAGTGCTGGTGGTGGCGGTGGAGGTCAACGTGGCAGGTACGTGTGGTGTGCGTTGCACGACTGGTAAAGGCCGCTACCAGAATGCTCACGGAAGCCCTGCTGCTGTCCGCGACCGCGGTTGCACGGTTGGCGGCAGACACTTTTTTTGTTGGTGGCAGAAGTTTGAGACTTCCTCGTGCCATCTTCTTCTAGTCTAGCGAACCCGCACTGGCGGTTTCAATTAAATCACCGTCCACCTAATTTCCAACGATTTTGCTATTTATTTGGTCCCTCGAATTTTTACAATCGTCCGTCGACTCTGCCTAGGCCGAAGGAGGGGGCGATGTGACAAGCGGCAATGATGAGCATCGGCCCTGGCGAGGCCACGGCAAGACCTCGTTGGAGACGGGGGTTGTGCAGTGAGCGCAACGGACTGCGGCATCCCAGATG